TCGTTCGACAACGACCCTGAATTGAAGGCAAACTAAACAAATAAATATGTATATGATAAATCGACTTTATTTTTATTGATTTGCACTCGAATTTCAACGAAAAAACTTTTATTCGAAAAAAAACAAACTACACTTAGTGTTTTATCATCGTATATCGCTATAGTTTCACTCGTTCCCTTCTCTTAATCCTTCTAATCTATAATTTCGCTTTCTTTCTCTCGCTCTCTCTCTCTCGTTCGTTCTCGTTTTTCATTTTCTCGCTTCAGCATTTGTTCGATCCTAAATTGCTATTTCTTCGTGTGTGTGTGTATACGGGTGCGTGTGTATCGTTCTTTTTTTGTAAAATAATCTTTTCGTTTTGAAATTCGAGTGCAAATCAATAAAAATAAAGTCGATTTATCATATACATATTTATTTGTTTAGTTTGCCTTCAATTCAGGGTCGTTGTCGAACGACGCCGTCAGCGTCTCGGCACGCATAACTTGTTGACTCTAGTCAAGGTTACGAATGAAGTATTATGTACGTGTGTAGTCAGTTGCCTTCGCCTGATCAAAACAGAGTTTGACATTGAGAAAAAATTGTTTGTCTCGTTCTCTTCAGTCGTTGATAGACATTCGTCCTTGTCTGAGTAGTTAGAGGGAAAGAAAAGAGAAAGAAACTCAAGGAGAAATGTCTACACATAGTAATGAACAACTTGCGTCTCGTTCTTATCAAATAGACATTGTGCAAGGCCATCGAGACTGACAATCATAGACTAGAGAAGAAACAGAACGAGCGGATGATTTCATGCATATTTTCCGACTGATGTTGATCATCTTTTTCTCGTTTTTGATATCTTACCTTGAGAAGGACAGAAAGAAACATATTATTTGTTATGTATCAACAAGGTCGAAAGTATCTTTTTTCAACTTTATTTTTTCAATGCGAAATTCAACATTCAAGGTCGAGATGCACTACGGGAACGGCATGATCGTAAATGTATGCTATTATCCGTACAATAACAAGCATATGCCGGTTGACCTGATGGATTGGCAAAGCAATAACCTGGTGAACAGTCTAGTTCACAAACAGCTAAAAGCAGGAAGAAAATGAATGTAGATACAAAAGAACTTGAAATTGATATTTACCTGGTCGAGTATTTATTTCACATGTGTTGCCCGAATAACCAGGTGGACAGGTACATGTGAAACTATTACCAACTACATTACATGTACCTGCATTGATGCATGGATTGCTATCACATGGTGCTAGAAATGAAAGTTTTGGTTTTGTTTTGTTTTGAACAAGAGAGAAAAGCTTACAAGAAACAGTTGCAATAGATTCACAACGATCTCCTCGATATGGAATAGGACATTTACAATCATATGTAAATGGACCTTGAAAACAGGTACCACCGTTAAGACATGGCTGAGAGATACATTGATCTAAGAAGAAAGAGCGATCAAGCTTTCAATTTTGTCTTCAAATGAGCATACTTTGAACTAAATTTTGACAGCGATCACCTGTATATCCAGCTGGACAGGCACATTTTATAATTTGGCCATTGGACATAGAAACGCATGTACCTCCATTACTACATAATTGAGAATTGCATGAAGCTTTGAAAAGTAATAAAATACAGAGTCTTGTCTTTTGGGATATTGAGACGAATTTTACCTAGAACTGTTTGACACTGTCGGCCAGTATATTGAGCTGGACAGTTACATACATAATCTGTGTTGCCATATAGGTAGCATGTTGCACCATTTTTACAAGGTGTTGGTTTGCAAGCTAGAGGATAGTGAATATAAGCGTCGGAATGGATTTCTATGTATAAATTATACGTGTTGACGCTGCTACTGCTGTTTCACAATATTGACCAGTAAAGCCGCTTGGACAAACGCATTGATATGCATTTCCAGCCAAAACACAGCTAATAATAGAAAAATACATTGATATTAATTGAAAGTCATTTTCATCTGCCGATTGATTTACTTTCCGCCATTTAAACAAGGTGTACTTCCTTGTAAGCAGGTATTAACTACGAATAAACTCGTCTTTTACACCCGAATAGGAAGATCAGTGATGAAGTATCTCACTTGTGGCAACTGTGTCACAATTTGCTCCTGTAAATCCAACTGCACATTCACATTTCCATGAGTCAGCTCCGACGGGTGAGCATCTAGAAAAGAATATTGAGACAGGTTTTCATTTGAACAACGGATTGTCTTCTTCACTTATACGTACGTTGCACCATTTTTGCAGATATTTGGATTTGTTACGCAAATGTTGTTAGCTACAATAACAAATAAGATCATAAGATAGATTCTTGTATCACTGTCTTATTGCTTACCTATTATTTCAGAACAAGTTACACCGGCATAAGGTGACGGACATGCACAAAATGCTGCATTATTGAGAACGGTGCAACTAGATGTATACATATGGCTTTCATTATACAAGAGACAAATTCATTCCGACTTACGCGCCACCATTTTGACACGGTGACGGTGAACATGGGTTCGCTAAATCAAGGAACAAGATAAATACGAATAACAATGAATTTTTCTTCGAACCTACCAGCAGATAAAAACTGACAGTTAGTACCGTAGTACGGGTTGGGACAAGTGCATTGATATGAATTACCAACATTCGTGCAGGCACCGTTGTTCAAACATGGATTACTTGCACAAGCATTGGTAAGCTCTAAAGTAAAGCCAGTAAAGTAGTAGTCGCAAAGCAAGACTTCTATTTTGCTCATACCGCATCTTGAGCCGGAAAATCCAGATAGACATAGGCAATAAATTTGAGTATTTGAATTCAAGGCATAGCAGGTACCGCCGTTTTGGCATGGAATGGATGCACAAATCGCTAAACAAAAAAAGTTATGCTCCAGTATTCTCAGATCGCATCCGCTTACACACGGGTTGCCTCAATGTTTCACAACGAGATCCGGTATATTGTGCAGTACACGAGCATGTGTATGCTTCATTGAGACCAGGCGTACAAACACCATTATTTTGACAAATGGGTGGTTGAATATAGCATGGATTCAAATCTATAAGTTCACATATTCGAAATGAAACTCAGGCATCTGCATTACGCGCATCATACTTTCACATCGTGGTCCATATGAATATTGATTACATGTACATGTATAAGTACCAAATACTGTCGCACTACATACACCACCATTTTCGCATGGATTTGATGCACACGGTGATGGACGTGGTGTAGCTAGCGAAGTATAACAAAAAAAATGTTCGCTATTCAAAACATTCCTATAGAGAGGATTCTCAGCTAACTTGTCGTAAGCAGTACATCACAATTCTTTCCAGTTAGTACAGGAGCTGTACATCGACAAGTATAATCGACAGCAGAAATTGCAGTGCATAAACCACCATTTGCACATGGGTTGGGTATACAAACTGTAACGAAAATCGACTGATTAATTTAACGGTAAAATTCTAACTTCATACCTTGACCATCAACGAATGTAATCGTCGAAATAAATGTAAAAATCCAAACGTATAGTATGTAATGCATTGAAAGATATAATCAAAATGTGTTTTGTTTTTGTAAATGAATATTTATATCGATGATATTGCACAAAAACAGGCTTAGATTGATATCAGTAAGAACATAAATATCAATTGTGCCATTTTGAATCATTTTTTGTACGATTGTATTTCAATTATTAACAACCCACTCGTTTTCATTGGTATTACCGAGATTAAGAAAAAGTAATTGATTTTCAAAGCGAATATTTCACACTTCCATGGAAATCCCTTGGACACCAGCACAATATTTATCATTTTTAGTAAGATGATCAAGCAATATCGTCGTGTATGCAGCATTTATATAAACATGACTCAAATTAAAATCAGGACCAGAAAGGCAAATAGAAAAAGTACATGACTTATCCCCACTGTTTGTCTTCTGAGTGACTTATGAGATAGTTCATCTACCAATCCAATTCACCCTCAATACCAATACTCTTATTCTTATCCCACTTAGCCATCGCATTATCATTTACATCCAAACGCCACGCCTACAACTATCCATGGTCCGATGAATAATTCAGGTTGAACTAGATATTCGAATAAACAAGCAACAGTATCCATCGAAGATGAATGACATGACGATGATATCTTTTGTTCGTTATACGAATTGGAGAAAGAATTTCATTTTTAGTCGATATTTAAGCCGTGCAAGAAGAATTCAAATAGCCGTTGCACTACAATTGACCGAAAATCAAATCGTGTGAAAGATAAGAAAAAGAAATTGTAAAAGATCGACTTGTATTCTATGGATATTGTGCAGTTATGTTTATATTAATAAAAAGAAACAGAAGTTTACAGACTAAACCAAGAAGTTTCTTTCTTTGCTCTTCTTGTTGCTATGTTGTTCGAGAGCGTAACAATGACTCAGGCGAATATTTTCATACATCCATCAAATGACAAGTGAAGATTGAATTTGATTAGATTTTTCTATGTGCCGGATGCTTTATCGATGTCATAGGAGAGAGATCGATGGAATTGATTGTTGTCTTATATGCAAATTCAGAAGCGAATCGCGTGAGAAAATGTAGAAAGACAAGCAACAATGTGGGAAATTCAATGATAAACAGATCAAACGCATCAGCATGACATAGATTCGATTTGGATTGTGTTGAAGTGAAAGTATCAAATGATTATGACAACATTGAAAATTCGAATAGAAAAGAAACTCATCGATTGGACAATTCCAACTTATAAATGATCATCTTTCCTATTTACTGTCGAAGACATGCGCGCAAAGTTCAGCTCACCAAATTCCGCGACATGTATGTCTGATGTCTCGTTAAACCTTATTGGCGAGTAGATTAGATCATTGCCTTCAGGCCAACATCTGCTCTGGAAACTTGTAGTACATGTGCTATCGATAGTCAAAGATTAACTGTAATGATTAACACTTCTTTTCTTGCTGCATCGTTGAGATAGAACGGAGATATTATGTGTATCCTCTCGTTATGAGAAGTGATTTGAATCAAATGAAAGTTCACGTCGAGCACGCACATCGATGCATCGCCTTTCAGCAGATTTAATTATTAATCATGATGCGGATGTACCAAAAAAAAACAAATGAATATGTTGAACTCTTCTTATCGGATGAGAATTTCCTATAAATTAATAATTGAATGACCTCCTTTCGCGATAATCTCGTTTTTTTCTATTGGTGGAAATAAACCATGAACATCTTTCGAATTCTCTTTCTCGATGATGTCTATTCATTTAGATGTCGACACATAGCAATAGATTCGATCTCATTTTGACAGATCGTTACATAGTGCATAGGTGCGTTATGTGAATCAACCACTGATAAACGATCGAACGCAAAAAAGATATAAAAGAAAAAACGAGTCCTATTCATTGCCTTCTTTTGTTTCTCGTTTACATGTTTTTTTTATTGATTAGTTGTAAGATAATGATCATTGAATAGTTTTTCTACTTAAAACACACATTAATTCGAAATAATCTGTACTTTCTTCTAGATTCCAACGCTTCCTAGTTATCTCTAGTTTGTCATCTTCGCCCAACAACTAACAAACAAGTTTTGTTTTATTTTACCGTTAGATTCAATGTAAACAATAAATAAGAAAAGTATTTGCCAGTACTTCCTCAACTTCATAATTCTTTCAACCATCCATGTCTCATGTAAACCATACCATAGTAGATATCATTGAACCTATATGTTGACCTTTGTTTCAGCTCGAAGGTTCAGAATGTATCGAAGCCTTAATTCCATTTGTCAAAGCGTTTTCATTCACCTGGTTCAATTTACAAGCGGCCAAACGTCGTTACCAGAAACAACACGAAACGCCCATGCCTATCGAGATGGAACGCGTGATGAAGGAAGATTTTATGGTTCGTACGGACTGCAAACAATGTGGCTCATGTCTATTTGTGTTTTGCTCTCATTGTAGAATCAACGCTATGCGGATAAGATCAAATGGACTGTCCGAATATTGGCGAAACTACGAAAAGATATCAAACGTGAATGTCGTGGTGACCTTGTCAAAACAATTACCGAGGGAAATATTCAAAGTCCGTGTATCATATCGAATGCCGATACGAAAAGTAAAATGCGCCGTATTGATTGTTTACGCCAGGCTGATAAAGTCTGGCGCTTAGACGTTGTTATGGTTGTTCTATTTCGTGGTAAGATGACAAACATTCGCGTTGATGTTCATCACATATTTGCTTATCTTTTTACACCAATTAAGGAATTCCATTGGAAAGTACGGATGGCGAACGATTGAGTAAATGTAAAGAATGCAAAAGTCCGGCATTATGCATTAATCCATATCATATTGTTATACATGTAAAAGAACTTGAAGTTTATCTTGTAAATTTTATTAATAATGCACGTAAGTTACAGAAACGCAATGTCATGCCCATGATTATACGATTGATGTATTTTGAATAATTGATAGAAGCGGCACCGGCGAACATCATTCCAAGTGTTTTTTCTACCAGTGAATTACAACATATGGCAACGAGTATGTGTCAACTGAAAGCATGAATATGACATGCAAGAAACTTTCTCTTTAGGTTCGATTAGTGAAGGTGGTTCGACGAAAGAAGTCCTTGGTGCGGATTATCTAGGATCAATGTTAAAAATGGAAACCGACGATTATGTCGATACACAGTCAGTACCAACGGTCCAACAGCCAGATTTGTTAAAAATGTGTCGTAGCAGGTATAGAGTAGGCATACACGTGTATATGATTTTAATGGATTCATTATAGAAAACCAAGTTCGTCTGACAGTCCTCGTATAGTGAAACGACGTCGTACATTGAACAATACGTGTTCAACGGATGAGGGAGATGGCCCTGATATCAATGATGACCCAGGTAAATAATCTTTCCTTTCAATGGCTTATCTTCTTATTTCCCTATTCTGTGCGTTAGCTTCAACATATGACGTATATGAACAAAAAATTTCGACAGCAACCACTGCTGAACCATCATCGTCGATATCAGCATGCCGCGCCTCATCAACTAATGATTCCAATGCCTATTCAAGTTTTTCACAACAACAGCAACAACAAGAGGAAATCAACAACGTATCGAAACCTGTTATGGAATCAAGTAAAGTCGAACCAACAACACCGCGACCACCATTTTCACAAATTGGTATTCATAATCATGTCTCTTTGAATTTACATTTCACCAGCCAACAACAGCAACAGCAGCATCAACAGCACCAACAACAGCAGCAGCTTTTACCAAAACCATTGTCGTTATCATCATCATCATCAGCAGCAGCAGCAGCAGCGACATCGACGTCCCAACAATCCTCAGACTCAAAAATTCTTTCCGAACGCCTTATTGAAACACTTGTACAACGTTTTAACGATAGTCAACAACAGCAACAACAGCAACAACAACAACAACGTACATCTTCTCATCCGCATACAATTGAATATTATCACCAGGATTCATCAAACGAGTTACCATCTATGAAACAGAAGATGTCAAATAAACTTTTTACAAAGCCGTACTCTGCCACAGCAGTCAATATCTTATCTTCTCGTGAAAGACCGATAACGGCATCGTCATCCTCCCTCACAACCGGAAACAACTACAACACATCTTTCATTCAATCACAACCAGATGACAAAACGAATTCAAACAGTGCCATGCGCATAACTTCAGCTGCTGACCGTGTTTTACCCGCATTTCACACGTTTTCCGAATTGAAAAGTTATTTGCAAACAATCGGCTTAGATGTTGAATTAGTACCAGCATCGAATACGACAACGACAGACATACATCAACAATCAAGAAATATCGATCCCGTTCAACAACGAATATCCACAAATGAACAACAACAACAGCAACAATATCAAGTTCGCTCGGATACAGTTAACATTACTCAGACACCACAGCAACCACAAATTGTCATGTTAGCAAATAGTGATAATAATCGAAATTCACGCAATGATAATGGTCAGTGTAGTCGATCAAGTGAGTTCTTTTCTCGAGATTTGCTTCACATACATCTTTGTCTTCTCTTCGTATTTTCAAGGTTCAATTAGTGTACCACCTAATGTGCTCACTGAGAAGTTACTTCAATATGCTTCAAGCACTTCATCGATTCGTCATTCACATCTTTCCTCCCGTCCTTCATCCTTATCATCTCAACAACAACAACGTCGTTCACCGTCGAAACCACCGATTGTTACTGAAATCGCCAATTTATTATCTGTCTCAAATAATGCAAATAAAGATCATCCAATTGTTCAACAAGTCACTCGTCAAACTCTTCTTCCTCCACCACCCCCACCACCCTTTACTACATCGGATCCGACAACAACAGTCTATCATCGTATCGCATCAGCTGATAAAGTATCGACGATAATTAAGCGTGATTTTATTCATGATGATGTTCATCAAAATGATCCTGAAGTTGAAGAATATATGTACACACCTACAGCTGGTCGTTCGTCTAAATCACTGAAAACAGCAACATCTCAAACAAGCAATGATACGACAACAAAATCGATTGTTGTTCTCGAAAGTGGCTCAGCTAGTAATAGTAATGATAGTAATGTTTCTTCAGTGTCCTCATCGTCGTCGACATCAATGAATAATCCGGCTGCTAATAATCACAATAATAATAATAATGTTTCCTTGATACATAGTCTCAGTAAAAGCAAACATAGTTCCACATCATCAAGCCAAGATCCACGAAACATCTGTGATCTTCTCTTAATGTTATACGAACAGGAACGAACACGAAGTACACAATTGCAACAACAAATTGAACAAGTCAGCCGCCAACATCGTTCGAGAAATTCAAGTGGACAATCTCATTCAAGCGAATCACAAACAGGTCTTGAAACTCCGCAAGGACCGACAAGTGGCAATACGAACTCCACACGTATTCTAAGTCCAGCAGCATGGATATCAACAACAGGAAAAGATAAAACATCTGTTCATATTCAACAGAGTCATCATCAGACATTGAAGTTTGATTCTTCAGCATCAATGAATGGTTCACCTCCAGAATCGCAAGATGTATGTGAAGAAAATTTTGATTCTTCTCATTCAAATCTATATTTCTAGTGTTCACCACCTGATCCAACGAAGAGTGGCCTAAGTCCAACGAAAGTAGTTCAATTTTCTCAATCGATCGGTTCAGCACAAAACCTTATCCCACGACCTGTACCAATGTTAGCAACAAACGATGGTCTTGTACGTCATACATCATCATCATCATCACACGCCGCGACACCAACAGGATCAAATAGTTCATCGAATAATGGTACTTTTCCTGCCAGCACTAACATAATAAACTGCATGTTCATCTTTTGTTCTAGGTGTAATCTATACCCCGGGCAATCGTCTCTTTCAAAGTCCTCTTGGACAAGTATAGTTCAAACTAGATCATTCATTTCCTAATAATATTTCATTATAGGCATTTGCGGCAGCTTTAAGTCCAGGTCTAAGTCCATTTTTATCCCCATCAACTAGTCGTGCTGGTACACCAAGTGAATTAATGATAATTCCTGCTGATTTACTTAATGTTCTCAATAGTCGTAATTGGAGTGAAGATGAATTCTTACAAGCATTTGTTAATCATTTAGATTCTGGTGGTGTGTAAATGTTTCATTCCGTGCTTTCCCTTCTATCTTCAACACATCATTGAGTATCGCTCATGTATTTGCAAAAAAGAACATTTCATCATGTTTCTTTGCAACATCAAGCTTTACTCATATTGTGTTTCACTTTTATGATTATAGGTTATTAATTTCAATCATCACATTCATAATCTTGTTTTTCGATTTTCCAAACATATTTCGCAAGAGAAAATGACATTTCCGGTGTGTTATTAATCATCACTCAGGAACAATCGATATCTTAAACAAAAAAAAGTATATATGTACATACTAGTGTACAGATACACTTCGAAATCTTCTTGAAATTGTATAGCCAACATTTGAAAACAGTATTTGTGCATGTTTAAAAAAAAAAATTTTTATTCGTCTTCCGTGAAAGAATAAAACAACGAAAAAAAAAGAATCGAATATAGTACATATTTCTTTTAGCAAGATACTCGAAATTTCGGCTTGATTATAGCTGATCTTTTGATATCTTCTATTCGGGCGAAATTATATTTCATTTTTCATTTCTTTAATCTCTTCTCTGTTAGGTGTAGGCTCAGGTCGTCGATCACGCGTCAATAACGAAGAACCAAAACATCAGGGTAAACCGACAAGTATGCCCAATAATACTAATAATGGTAATGGCAAAGCCAAGAATACTGAAAAATAAGCAGCGAGTAGCGATTGATGATTTTGTTTTTTTTCATTTCACTTTCTCCTTCGTTTTCTTTTTGTAATATTAGTCTATATCGTCTGTTTGCTGTGTAGTGCTTCTCATCTTATCACCCTTCTTTGTTTTCTTTATATCGAGTAACAATTTTTTTTTCGTAGTTAGAGAGAACATACGAGGGGCATTGATTTTTGTTCGATTTCTTTTTTTTTTTTACAAAAATTTCATGGCTTGATCGGAAAAAGAGAGTTTATATAAGTCTCTCTTGTCAGATAAAGTGCAACATTATGCGTGAGAGGAAGATGTTCTTGTTTTGCTTCGATTTTTTCCTATATGTATGACTCATTTTTCATTCAATCTCAACTAATGTAGTAGTACTTTTGGTGTTTTTTCGATGTTGTCCGTTTCGAAAAAAAATCTGTCAAAGTAGATGATGTTCGATCGATTCAGAGTTCATTTCTTTCTGTAAGGGTATTGTCTGTCATGTCTTGTTTCTTCTTCTTCTTCTTCTTCTTCTTCTTTTGGCATAAACTATTTAATCGGTATTAAATATTATTTTATTCAAAATAAAATTGAAGAAAGATTATCTATTCAAACGCCTACGATTATTCATCACCACTAATCAGTACGAATTGATATTTTTTGTACTTGATAACATTTCTATTGGCAATCAAGCATGACTATTGTGATCCTATAAAAAGACACCCTTTTTGTGAAAGAATAGTTCGTATTATGTGTTGGAGCCTTGAAGTATCATTAGCATTTGCCGGTGCACATTTTCTTTCGGCAGTTTATGTTGCATGGCATCGTCCACCTCATATGCGTTATTTTCTAAACTTCATTTTGTTTTATTTGGCCATGGAGTTATTACAAGCACTTGAATGGTACACAGGAGTTGAGCCGCATTTGAATCAATCTTGTACGAAGACGAATACTGTTTTAACTGTGATTGCGTATTTACTCATTTGGTTGCAACCGGTTCTATTTGCGTCGTTTGCAACTAAACACGATAGTCGATTTGTGTGGTATTACTCTTTGTATACTCTTGCAGTGGCTTCGTTCAATCTTCTTCTTGGTTTTTGTGAGAAGGCCGGTGGACTGGAATTGATGTCTCAAAGCGAAAAGACGAATTACGGTCAGCAAACGTGCACTTATCGTGGCGAAGGCAATCACTTAGTATGGAAATTTGCAGTACCGTCGTTTAATTATCAACCGACGCACTATGTTTATTTTTCGATCATTTTATTAACATTCATTTTTCATTATGATCGAATTCTTCAATTAACTATTGGAATCGGATGGTTAACAACGTTTTTCGTCAGTCTGTTCTCCACTGGCACTGTCAACGCTGAATTAACTTCATACTGGTGTTTATTAAGCATTTTTGCTGATATTCCCATTTTGATCTATACAACATTACATGCCAGAAAAAAAACTAAGGAAATGTAGACTTTAATCGAACATGTCACATAATAAAATATTGTCGTATCGAGGTACGGATTAGATTATGATCATCTTCATTAAGTGCCCATTGATGTCTAGCAGTTGACAACTTGTCAATTTATGGCCTAGAAGAGGTATTAATCCTATTGGGAATAATTTGATTCTTATCTATGCAAGAAATGAATTCATAGAAGACAGCAGAGAATAGACTTCTCTTGCTTTCACTGTTCAGAATACATATAAGCTTGACCATCGTCATCCGCTCTTTGTCTCTTTCTATCTCTCCGTTGTCAAGGCATAATGAAAAGCAAAATATTCTTCATCTCAATGAATTGAATGCATTTCACCGGAAAATAGTCTCTTAGGGCTTATCCGATGAATATATTTGGTATGTAAGCAGGATCAGCATAATGAGTTTTTCTTTTGTCATCATTCCGAGTCATGGAAAGATTTGTCACAAACAAGCTTTTTCCTTCGAAAGAAGTCCTAGCTAGAATATGCGCTCTTAGGTAAGATTATTATCGTTGCTGTTGCTCGATAGTTTTGTAATAAATATATGCAGATGTTCTTCGAGCAATAAAAGTCCAATAAAGAATCTATTTATACTTCGAATACATCGTTTATACAGTCATGCGTCGCAGAGGATCGATGCCGAGAGCTTCGACTTCCATTTGTTTCCTCGCCCGTTTGCTTTTCAACATGCGAATCACGATAAACATTGTTAATAGAACACCAGTCAGATTTGTAATTAACTCCATAGTCAAATCGGTTATTTCCTCTTGCAGTTGTTTGGATTGAATAAGAGTACTGTTTATTTGTGTTGCATTGATGTTCATGAACTGAGCTGGTGTATAGTTGTCAAGATTGTAATAGTATAAATCGAAAATGAAACGAGCGACGAAGAGTATGGACAGTAGAAGAAGAGAAATCGATAAGATTCGAACACTTTCAAGCCATAAGGAATAGATAATTAAGATCGAATATAAACATATACAAACAGTACTGATAAGACTTCGAGTGAAGAGATAAATTTTTAAATAGATCGAGTCTGACGAGTGAAACAGAACTTGTTTTGTATACTGAAATGTACTTGATATCAAATAAGCATAGAAACAGTTGAGTAAAACACGTAGATTATTGACTTTTGGTGGAAAAGGATGATTTCGCGACATATGTCAGTGTTTATATGGCAAATGACAATGATGCGCTGATTTTTATGAGACTCGGCATCTCCTCTCGAGATAAATCTCTTTTTTTTTCAGTTTATTTATCTTGAAATTTCAGAGCAATCGTTCTGTGAATGTTAAAAATAGCATTCATTCTGTATGCATACATCCATTTTCTGAAAAAAAAAGAGAAGTTTGACAGGCTTCGTCAAATGTCTCTCTTATCTATGATTTGATTATTTATAAAATACAACATAATTTCTTGGATGTGATCAAGTTATTTGATTGCGTGCCATTCCTAAGATTAACAATGACATGAAGTGAATAGAATAACACTAGACATGTGTAAGATGTTAGATAGAATGTATATATATGTGAGAACAAGAAGAGAGAAGGAAAAACTTCTTCGTTCCGAAGATATATCTTGTGATTTAATTAAATCATTGAAAGAAAAAGAAGATGTGTGCAGACCTTATATATAAATAATGAACAATATAATTCCTGATTGCGATTTCTCATGAAAAGAGGAGAGAGAGAGAGAGAAAGCAAGAAAGAAAGAAAAAGTTTTTATCTCATCAATTGAAGATATACATAGTTCGATTATGCAATAGAACCAGTTCGTTTTTTTTTTATCAGAGTGGTAATTGAGACTTATATAATTTTCTTGTGACAACTTAGAACCCAATCATTTAATCTCATATGTACATATACATTGAATGTATCTGTTCTGTTAAATTGATTTTTAGCTGTCGATGATGACTAAGCAAAGGTCACAACAAGTTTAGATAAATTTGTCATTCTTTTGCCGGACAGGTATTGTGCTATGCCCGCCGCTCAAATGATTACGTAAGGGAGCGAAATACTAATATAAACACAACACGTATAGATGTCGAAGACAATACAACCATTTTCTCTTCTTCAAGTTCGTTATGAAACGCGCAGCTGAAGTTATTCAAGGATATGAGGAAAGAAAAGCAAACGCCGTTGTCTTCGTCTTTTACAATCGGAAGGAAGAAATTCTTCTACAGGTCTGCAAATGAATTTCTCTGTTTTATGTTGTTTTGTTCGAGTTCATAATTGTTAGCGTTAGCGTAGATGCATTGTTCTTCTCATCGTTTTCTCTTCCATTTAGTATATCGAGAGACAAAATGGATCGTTGAGTTTTTCAACGATTTCCTACTAAAGCAATCCTCAAGCAGAAAATGACGTTGACGATTCTTTAGCCAAAAAGAAAATGAAGACGACGACGACGACGACGACGAAGAAATCAATCGATATTTGATGATTGAGTCTATACGACAGACATTGACGAATCTGAACAAAGACGACTCGTCGTTTTTCTTATCTCCCCTCTCTTCTTAATTTGACATTTAGATCTTTATTAATCATATCAGAATATCGATTATATTATCATTTAGTTCGTCAAATAGATAGATAACCATCAACAAGAGACTTCCTACGACAAAATGCGTTTCCTCTATTAATCATAACAAACTAGGCATTTTCTTATTCATCTGTTTTCCGCCGAAAACTTTTTCACTTCAGTTTTCAATTGCGCTCAGTCGGCTCTTATGTGAAACAAGACAATTTTCTCTACTTCTATATATATATATATATATATATTCATCTATGTACGCATGTGAGTTATGACAATTAAGAGAATGTAACAGATGAAAAAATCTGTTGGACATCTTTGATAGAATATGGAAAGAAAAAAAATCGATTAACTAAAGTAATCATGTAAAACGTTGATATAAACAGAAAACAATCTCGTATTTTTGTTTGCTGTTCTTCCTATTTACTTCTAGATCGATGCGAAACAAGAATTTATTCATCTGTTCTCATCGATGGGCGATTCGTCGATGTTCCTAGAAAGTATCTTCATCGTTTCTCTCGTTTTTACCGTCACTTATTCCAATGAACTCCGTATTAATACGACATCAGGTCTGTTCGAAGGTAAAGAGGTGATTATCAGTAACATACCCGTTCGACAATTCTTCGGCGTTCCATATGGTGAAAAGCCAGCTCGTTTTGAACGGTCAGTCCTACGAAAATACAATCCGAATATAACATATGCAACGCACCGGACACCGGGATGCCTACAGGCACCTGGTGGACTGTCCTATGGCCCGTTCGATTTACCGGACATGTTTGACGAGGACTGTTTAACATTGGACATCTTTACACCGAAATTGAAATCATTGACGCCACTTGCAATCATGGTTTTCTGCCATGGCGGATCCAATCAGGTCGGTTCAGCGTCTCTATTCGATGGAAGTGCTGTGGCTGCACTTGGCGATGTGGTTGTAATTACAATTAATTTTCGATTAAACATCTTAGGATTTCTCACCCCAGGTCCAAACATAATGCCGGGCAACTACGGTTTACACGATCAAATTCTGGCACTAGAATGGATTTCGAACAATGCCAAATCGTTCAATGGTGACCCGAAACGTATTACTTACATAGGGCATTCGGCGGGTGCCGCAAATGCCGTTCTATTAGCAATGTCCCCGCGTTCTAATGGTCGAATAGCTCGAGTGATTGCCCAAAGCGGTTGTCCATTAAATCAATGGTGAAAACTTCCACAATCAAGATCTATAATTTGTTAATAGTTTTGTTTTTGAATTCTCTAGGGCAATCGATAGACAACCATCAATTCGATTCGATAATGTTATTAGACGTAATGGCATGAAAACAAAGAAAACATACTTGCAAGAAAATATAAATCGATTAAAGAATATCTCTGCCAACGCTTTCAATTATATGTACCATACAGGTTTAGAAATTTCGCCTGATTATCCGTAAGAATCTTGACTATGCTCTGTTGTTGCAAATGTCCTATTTCTTTTCATTCTGTTAGATTTCCAATTATCGACAATGATATTCTTCCGAATGATTTAGAAGGATTGATTCGTAAAGGACCACTTCGAAACGTTGATATTCTCATTGGTGTGACAGCTGACGAAGCCTTGTACTTTGCTGAAGAACACATATTCAATCATTATTTGCCGAGAAAATATCGCACAACAACGTCCTTAACAACCACTCAACGACCATCAACAGTGAAAAGTAATGGATTTGCAACGACAACCAATACAATGAAAAAAGCAACTGAAACCGAACAACCACAAGGATTTGCCTACTTTCTGAAGAACAATTATATAAAAAATTACTTGAAAACCAACTATCCTGATCATCTCTGCTACTATGAAAACATTCAAGCAAGATTTATGCCACATATCGACTATCAAAACAATCTTAATGAAACAGCTCGTCTCTACACGAATCTAGTCAGGTGAAAAACTATCCGAATTCGTGTATTCACATTCTCTCATCTGTTTTGTTTTCCTAGTGATTTGATGTTCTATTACGATCTCGTTCGTTTTCTTCACGAACGTTTGGAATCAAAATCACGTGCATCGACCTACGTTTACTATCACACAAATCCACCGGTATTCGATCGTGATAATTACCTTCGACGTATTCCGCATATGATTGGACATTTCGCGGAACTGGATTTAACATGGGGTATACCATTCTTCGATCCAAAAAATCGAACAAACATTGCCTATAATTGGAACATGTCGTACAAGCCAGAAGAAGTCGATCTTAGCTTTCAAATGATTCGCTATTGGACAAATTTTGCTAAGACTGGTAAATCGAAGTGCCATTTGCGAACATAGTTCTTCATCTCGTGTTTTGCTAGGTAATCCAAACGAACCCGAATATGCCTCAGTCTATTGGCCATTGTACGAACGAGTGAACAAATCATTCATCAGTTTTAATGCATTGAACACTCACATTGAAGACAATTTCCTCGAAGAACGTTTTCAATTTTGGAATTCAGTTTTACACCGTCACATGTGCACGCCATTTCGCTGGTATCACACATGTCTGCTCATTGGTATTCTCGTCATTGTTCTTAGTCTGTTATCGATTTATATTTTTTATAATGCTAAACGATCGCGTCGAAATATCAAGCCGACTGAAGTAACAAATACAGACACTGTGACTACTTATCGTTTCGTATCAGATGTTGTCTCTTAATGTTGTGCGTGTTGTTTTTTTTGTGTATATGTAGTTGAAACCTTTGCTTTCTATCACTCTTTTGATTTCTTCTATCTATATTAAACAAATTCAAGTATTAGTGGATATAATTGCTATATCAATGTTCTTTTTTCCTATTTACTAACCTTCGCACATGTGATTACGACGTAAAGAATGATCTATTACTCAGTATTAACGTAAGTAGGTAGAAAAGAAATCGGTTATCATATTTTCATCGACTTGCCTATTAAAAATATTGACAAAGATTATAGAATTGTACTTGGAAATTAGTCATATGCTTCGATAACATTTAGCTGCAATTACAAGTTAAAAGGAAATGTACTCAACCTACTTGAACATGATTATGAAATTATTTGTTTGTTTGGTGAATGTGAGACCTTCTAACGAAAAGGTTTTCGCTGATCATTCGAGGACAAAAATATGTCAAAAAGAATGAATTCAGCTGTGTACGCATGTTCGTCCTTCTCTCGAACATTTTTCTAACACGATGATCCTACAAAATCAAAAAATACATCCAGCATGCCAATGACCTTTTTCTTCCTATATACCATTGCTTGTAATTTTCAATCGTATTTAATCCATTAAATCTCAAATCGATGCTTATTACTTTCGACATCATCATCGCTGCATAAGAACAACAAAAGACGAATGATAATGAGAAGACTGTTAGTCGTATACATCATTTTCTCGTTTACTCTAACAATTCATGGAGATGAATCTCTGTGTGATTCAAGTGATTCATGGGCGTGGACACCGTGGTTTAATTCACATGCACCGAATTCGAACGGTGAATATGAATTACATTTAGGAATACGCAGTCAATATCCGGCACTTGTTTGTGCTCATCCTCGAGCAATCTCAGTTATGAATCAAGACGGTGTCAACATGGATCAAACGCAGGACAAGATGATTATTCGTGCGTATGATATATTTTGTATGAATAATTATCATTCGGAATATCAAAAGAAAATGTGTGATGATTATAGTGTTCGTTATTGTTGTCCAAAAGTGGAGAATTCGACTGAAACTGAAAATTTGCGCGAGATTTTCATCGCAAGTAATGAAGCTAAAAGTACCAAATTGAAATGTGGTCAATCGCCAAGATCAAGTGCAACGATCTTCTTAAGTATCATCGACGATATGTCGTCGAAGATTATTAATGGAGTCGAAGCACGTCCAAAGAGTTGGCCGTGGCTCGTTTCCATTGGTGTTCGATATCGCGGTCTGAATGGTGTTTGGCAAAATCGTACACATATTTGTGGCGGAACATTAATTGATCTTTCACATGTTCTGACAGCTGGCCATTGTCTCGAGCAGAAAATTGACGATCGGTTTGTACCGTTAACACCGACGAATCCCACGTTAGAATCGTTTTTCTTCTTACGACTCGGTGTTCATGATATTCGTTTAACACGATCAGAAGACATTTATCGTGCTCGAAAAATATTCGTTCATGATAAATTTATTTCCAGTACATTTGAGAATGATATTGCGATGATTCGATTAGATCGACCTGTTTCAGTATCTGATTCGATTTCGCCCATATGTTTACCATCAACAAATGTCTCACCGGGTAGATCAGTCACTGTGGCTGGTTGGGGTACGGTGAGTGAAGCATCACGTGTACATTCGAATGTTCTTCGACAAGCAAATGTCAATGTTCTGTCATCAATTAACTGCCGAGTTTATATGAGTATTCATTACGACGGATCGAAACAAGTATGCGCTGCAGCTTTGGATTGGTCGAAAGATACTTGGTAAGCTCGATGAATTAGCTGTGCCTAGCGTATATATGATTCGTTTTGTCTTCTAGTGCCGGTGATAGCGGTGGTCCATTGATGTACCAAGAAAACGGTGCTTGGTCAATTGGTGGTATTACATCTTTTGGCTATGGTTGTTCAAAACGTGGCTTTCCTGGTGTCTACACTCGTACGGTGCCTTATGTATCATGGATCAAACAAAGAATGTTAAGCAATTAGTCGAAGCTTGAACAGCTCTTTTTTCATTTTTTTTTTAATACAAAAATCAAATCGATAGAAGAAAAACATTTCATTGCAACAAAATGAAAGAAAAGAAACAAGTTTTCTCCTCATTTACGACATCCATCGTATGCAATGTACTACAAAAGTTGTTCTCAAAGATAAAGTTTCTATACAACAGTCAAAACCTTTTCTTTCAGCCAATAATATAACATTTGTAGTAAAAAAAGCAGCCTACATACACTTTTCGTTCGAGTCACTACAACTCACTCATTCCTGATAACACACACAGGAAAAAAGAAACTATGTTATGTTGTTCGACGTTTTTTCTTTCAACTTAATCACAGCATTATCAACATGTTGAGGATCGTGAGTCAGATCAAATCGAATTTGCAATATGTGCCATTGAAAGATGTCAATATCGAAGCAACCATCGGTTCATTCGCTGCAGACGTAACTGTTACACAAAACTTTCGCAATGACACCAAAGTTCCCATCGAAGCAATCTACTATTTTCCGATTGAAGAACAAGCAGCGATTTATAAATTCACCGCTCGCATCGATGATCGAGAAATTGTGGCACAGTTAAAAGTGAAAAGAGAGTTCCATCATGGTCATTACGAGAAACATCCAAACGGTTATTTATTGGAACAAGATGAAAATTGTCAAGATAACTTTATTATCAATATCGGTACATTAGCACCGTCGAAAGATTGTACAATTTTGATATCGTATGTGACAGAATTGGATCTCATACAAGGATCGATTATCCGCTTCGTTATTCCGGCGACGATTGTCTCTCGATATAATCCACAAAAGAACGGACTGCAGACAAAATCGAAATTCGTCCAATCGAATCCATATGGAATTCATTTTCGTTGTCGAGTGGAGAAATTGAAAGGGCCCAAACAGGAACTATACATAGCCCGATTAACGTCTCCCTCTCACCAGATCGACATTGATCTTTCTAATCCGGATATGTATTTAATTACATTCGATCAAGCGAATATGTATCTAGATCGCGACATATTGATTGATGTTAAACTAACGCATACACGAGAGAATACATTCGTTGTTGTGGAATCTGGTGCTGTCATGGCTGCAGTAACGCCGTTTGAAGAAGACTGTTATGTCAATTTAGATAATACCCAAACAAATGAATTTATCTTTATCGTTGATTGTAGCAGTTCAATGAGAAATGAGAATAAGATTGGTTTAGTACGAGAAGCGATGTTATTCTTCTTGGAAAATTTACCACAGAATTGTTATTTCAACATTATTAAATTCGGAGCAAGATATACTTGTTTATTCAATGAATCTGTTGCTTTCTATAATAACATTCATATACGTATCGCAACGAAGTTCATCAGTCAAATAAGAGCAGATCTAGGCGGAACAGAGATGGTAAGTAAAAGACACAGAATTACTTTCACTCTTTGTCTTACAACTATTGCTAGCTTGCTCCGCTACAATGGCTTGAACGCCATCCTCCTCGTCCGAACCGTTTCCGTCAAGTATTTCTCGTCACTGATGGTCAAGTTTCAAATGTTTCCGAAATCTTAGAACTATGTCGATCGATGGCTTCGTCAACACGAATCTTTTCATTTGGATTAGGTGCGACGCCTAGTCGATCGCTTGTCAAGGGTCTTGCACGAACAACAAATGGTCGCGCTGTCTTTATCCCACCGAACACAGGTATTGAGGAATATGTTAGTGAACAGTTACAGAAAGCCATCCGACGATGTATAACTAATGTTCGTGTCCAATGGAATCTTGGTATCGACGTCGAAAGCATTCCAAATCAATTACCTCAGGCATATTTGAATGATCGATTGATCATTTACGCATTAGCAAATAACCAGTCGATCCCATTGACATCAAAATCATCGATTGAAATCCGTACGGATCAAAGTTATTATCGACTGGATATAGCGGATTCGGACCGAATTAGAACGACGAATCAAATGATAGAGCGTCTGGCAGCAAAAGCATTGATATTGCAACTAGAACATAATAAATATTCATCAACCAATTCGAAGACAGTCAGGTTTCAGCATATCGATGACGAGAAAAATTTTGCCGAAAATCAAGTTCTTGGGACAAAACAACAACGAAAACAACGCATCATTGACTTATCATTGAAATATAACATTCTCAGTCCGTATACTGTTTTCATTGGTATTGAAAAATATCTTACACGTACTACTTCACATGAAATACCCATCGAAATATCCGTGCAGTCTCTTATTCACACAGTTGATCGATCGATTGAAGACAGTATGCCACCATTCCGTTACACTACTAGTACTTGTTTTGACTCTTCTTTATTACACGATTCACATGCCGATCAACATGAAAGTATTGCATCGATAAATTCAGTAAGTGCTATTGATCATCTAATACAAAACCAAACCGCAGATGGTCTATGGTATTTTCCTTCGAATAGTGAGTTAATCGAAGATTTAACTGGAAAACCACTAGCTGCTTTCAAAACATCTGATCCGTATCTTGATCAATCGATCGTTGTTGCAGCAATTATAGTGGTTCAACTCGAATCGAAGTTTGCTGCTTTACGCTCAGTATGGGAAAACATGGTTGAAAAAGCTCGAAGACGACTGATCGATTTATTGCACAATGACTGGAAAGAAATAGTGATTTTATTTCGAGATATTCGAATGTCGTTAAATCAATAGAAATAGTTTATTGTTTGAGCTTTTGTTTATCTTTGTCTCGTACAAAATCGAATTCGACGTTTTTTTTTCAAATAATAACAGATCTGCATACTACGAATCACTGATAGAATAGCTTGTTGAATAGCAAAATCAAATTCTAACTGCCTCCTGACTGATAGAACTTTCTATTCAAATACAGGTTTTCTAACATGAATCTGACATCATATAAATTTTCTTCAATTACCAACTATTTGATCATGGTTTCTTTTTCACGAAAAAAATTTTTCACTTACATACACAAATATACGGTTTATTCGACGATAGAATCAGTTTTAAATCCAGTAAACTACGCTTAATTATTAGTATGATATCCCAGCATTGTTCGATGGTTTTCTGATGTCTGTTTTTCTTTCATCTCTCCTCTCTAGACAAGCGAATTCAAAGTCTATTTTTTGTTACGCGACAACCTAGCGAAAACATATTTAAAAGAATGTATAGAAGCAGTAAAAGGAAAAAGAACGGCGAAGAACATTTGAAAAGATATTTTCATTGATTTGAATAAAATGATCAAACAAATAGACAAAGATCAACGTATGTGTGAGCAATCTGACGATGCTACAATACCAATGAGCATCTACAATCGGAGAAAAGGACTCGAAGAATGCAATGCAATATTCACGCATCTGCACATTTTGATTGACACTATTCTTCGAATGAAACCTGTTCCAGAGAAAAGCAAATGAGAACTAATGAAATTTTTGCGTCAGCATTACTCTGACAACTCAACACAAATTGATGAATTCGAATTCATTCGTATATGATACCGGTAACAAAGCTTTGCGCGAACATAATTTTGATATTTTTATCGCTTTTCAACATTTTATCGTCGATTTATACAACCAGCTTTCTGAAGAATACAAAGAACTTAGCTTGGATACTTATGGAGGACAATGCATTAGTGGCGAAGAATTCATTTCAATGAATAGTCTTCTGTTCACGTTCACAAGGCCTTCTGCTGGAAATTGGTATGCTGATGCCAGTACACATAGCGGTAGTTCGTTAAAACGTGTTGTTTTTCAATTTAAACTCAATTTGCAACTGCTCGAAGCCAGACTATTTGCTTATATTGGTAACCATAGTCAGCATCCAGACGAAATTGAAGTATTCGTTCCGCGCGGCACGATATTTCGTATCGAAGAAGTGACACATGACGAAACAACGGATATATGGTGTATAAAACTGAAGTTATCTTCGAAAGAAAATGTGGAGCACGAAATGAAACGATTAGGTGAGACACGTAACCACAACAGTCTAGGACAATGTTTGGTGAATACAGCGAAACGAAAATTTTTTTCAATCGATTACCAGTGAATCCGAAAATCCATTTGAATTAATGATGTTATTTCCATCTTCATGACATTAATTACTACGAAAGGAGATTATATTGAATATATGGAACCTACGATAGCTGGAATGTACTTTTGGAAAGAACATTTTGACTAAGCTTTAGAATATCGTAAACAATCACTTGCGCCTTATGAAATAACGGGTACTGCATAAACGACAGAAGGCGAATATGAATTGTCTTTGGAATGTTTAAAGAACGCTTTAACTATTCAACAAGGTCAATTACCTGTAGATCATCTGCATTTTGGCACCACTTACAATTACTTGGCTGTTAGATATGAAGAAATGGGAAATTATTCGGAGGCAGAAAAATGTTATCGGAAAAGTTTGGAAATACACAAGAAATCATTGCCGTCGGGGTATGAAAGTATTAAGGACTATGAAAACAATCTCTAACGAATACGAAAGAAAAAAGAACTAAACCATCAAATTGTTAACAATAAACAAGAAATATTCGATATTTTGTCTTCGCCGATCGAAGTATAAAACAAAATATTTCAAGAACTCTTGTAGCCATTAGAGTAGAGCAAAATCTTGAGTGATGCCTCTATATACCGAGTTGAAGCTTGATCTCTAACATTGTTTATTCGGTTAAAGACAAACACTCTCATTCTTCTATGAATTGATTGCCTCATGAGAGAATCAATTTATAAGCTTATTTAGTTCCCCATGTAATCTGACTGAATAGTTAAGTGCGAAAGCCTTCACAACGACTCATTTCTGGCCAAGCTATGTAGAGTTTTGTATAAGTTATAGTAATACTCATTTTCCGTGTATCCGAACGGTATTTCTTTCTGAGTGAAATCAGATTTAGCATAAAGCTAATGGACTGCGGGCAAAGCTAAATATCGAGACTAATCTACAAATGAAATAAATTCCCTTTATCTATCTTCATATCAATTTCAAAGGAAACGGCATTATCGACGATAGTTACGATCAATCTTTGGGATACATCGATAAAGCAAACAAGTTTATGTCAAGATAGTTTCCTCTTAAGACATTAGTGAGCAGATTTATGCTGCACGTTTTTCCTCGTATTGTATTCTTCATAAAACGGTGATATATGTATATAACCTTGACTACGGCAAGTGACAGAAAAAGAGAGGAAGTAAGCAGAGAACATGCGGATAATTGGGATCACTGCCGTTTTCTCTCATTTTTTTTCAAGGTCCTTCTATGCATGACACAACACTATGTGTTGTTCTTTGTCTGTATGTCTGCTTAGATCGTCGACGAGCCTGGAGAAAACAGAATGTTGGCAAAAAAGAAACGATGCCTCGATTTCCAGGCATGGTCGATGTTGATGATGAAGATGTTTAAGAGAAGGAGTAGGCGGATGATGATTGTTGTTGTTTGATTGTTGAAGGTCATTTTTTCCCTTTGATTTTGTCTATATACTGTCGATAATATATGAACAGTTTATAGTAGTTAAGTACTAGAAACTGATGAACTACATTAGACATAATTTGTATTCCGTGAATTGATCCGTTTTTGTCATCTCTATGAGTCATGCTGAGTTTATTGTAAAACGATCGTTTTTTCCTAATTGTATGAATGGGTTTGAGGCAAACATATCAGGCATTTAGATTTCTATTATTTCATTCTTTGAAGTTGCATCTATTGATAGCAGAAAGCGAAGAAAAAAGAAAGAATCCTTCAAGAAATCCAGGGTTCCATTTGTATCAAGAGACTGTCTGTTACTTATGTATGTTTCTCGTTGAGTAGCGCACTCATGAGAGGAAAAAATCTAGCGAAAAAAAAAAGAAAAAAGAGGAAAACAGAAAGAAAGGAGCAAGGAATGATCCTGTATGTGCGTGCGTGCTTGCGCAGCAGCGAGAAATAAAACACCGTGGTGTTACCAAAACAGTAGAGGCGCTGTCGCTCTAGTGTAAGAGCGAGAATAAAGATGTTCGTTAAACTGACAATGTCATCGTTATTGATAGTTTCGCACAATGATCTGCAGTTCAACAGATTGTGAACTCTTACCGTCATCATCGTCTCTTCGTTTAATTTATTCGACAATTTCTGACATATATCCGTTCGCTATTATTTTATTGTGGTATGTTCTTGTTTTTTTTTCATGCTTTGCACGTCAGATAAACTTTTTCTCTTCTCTCTTCATGATATCGATATTTGAACATTCATATTGAAAGAAGTCATGACTTCAGTTCTCTTTTTTTTTCTAATTATTTCCAGATCCCTCTAGTATATCGAATTCATAAGCAGTTCTAAGATTGACGTGAGAAGAAGATTTTATTACTAGTTTGTAGTTGGTCTCCTCCTACTGCTCTGCTCGTTATCCTAGATGATTTTCCAGGTTTATATGTGTATACATATCAGCACTTTCCAGGTGTGTGGATATTCATATACATACATCGTTCATTTTTTTGACAATGCAGATAAACATGCTGGAATTGCTAAGGTAGGATGAAATTTACCGTCGAGGAATAGAAACAGTTCATCAGTAAAACTAGTGATGCGTGTGTGCTTATCATGTAAGGTTAAAGAATACGATACATTCATATATATATATATATAAAATAGAAGGCTTTGCTGACTGTTCGTCGGAGAATTCTAGTTTATTTAGAGTTTGTTTCATAATTTATGATAGGATAAAAAGTTAATATTTCCTATGAGCAATGCTTGTAGTGTCGGAATGAAAGGCATGCTTCTTTTCTTCTTGACTTTAGGTATTCATATCGATATTTAATTGAATATCGCCGACAGAGTACATCAATAATTTGTAGAGAAATATTTAATTTAGTTTAGGAAAAAATGACTTTTAAATTGGTTTCGAAGAGTGAAGAAGAAATCTGTTATGAAAAATAGAATCTTTTATGTTAAATAAGATTATAAAGGTCAGGAGACACAATAATAAATAAATTATTCTTTTCATGGATTTTTCTTAGCATTATTTGACACTCGTTGACGGTGAAAAAAACATTAAGAAAGAAAATTCACACACGTATAACAGGTACTTAGAAATTTGTCTAGGTTTTTTAAGTAGGTGTTATTTCTTCATAACAGCCTGGTTATTCCGGATTTGGTAGTACACTCAGTCGTTGAATTTTCACTGAAGATCTTCCGTTTCGCGCCAGCGTCATCGGTGCGTATATCCGTTCAGCTTCTTGTCTTTCTTCGAGTGACACTTGCCGATCATCGAGCATGATCAAATGTGGCAGTTGACTGATAACATAGTATCGATAGTCGACGTATTGTTTATACGAACCGCCGTTGAAGAAGCTTGGTGCAGCAGGATTTTTCATCATGCTTAGATACTTCAAATGAGGACAACTTTTCGCTAATGTTTGAACAAATACGCTCAAGTTGGCTATTTCATTCTGATTGATCCACAGCGTGTGGAGCATGTCGAGACGAGGAATTTTTACATTGGAATTTATTCGATTTTTATCCACGATTAACGTTTGAAGATTGAAAAAATCGATAAGGAAACGCAGATCATCCAAATTGTTCTCAGTCAGATCGAGATATTCGATAAGATGTTTAGCGTCTGGTAATAATTGATCAGGTATGGAATCCAAGCCTTGATAAGCAAATGACAATTTCTTCTCTGATTCATTCCTAGAAAATGCAACACGAACGAGAAAGTCGAGACAAAAAAAAACGAGTCTTTCAATGCTGCGCACCACTTTGCTTTATTTCGATTTATTGTTGTCATAATTAGATGTGTCGAAATGAAAAGTAAAAATAGACTTTCTTTTCTCATTGACCATAGTTAAGACATAGATAAGAACGAGTAAGTATGTAGTCATCATTGTTTTTATTTTCATCATCATTATTTTTCTTTTTTTTTTTCTTGTTTTGTTGACTATGGCCAAACACCGAACGGTGCAATGCTCGATACAACATTGAGAACAAAAAAAAACGGGAAGGAAAAGAACGATGCGATAGGGAGGAAAAAAAAGGGTTTTTCAAGATTTCCCTTCTTCGTTGATACTAAGCGTGTGAAACAACGATGCCGTTGCGATGCATTGAGAAGAGGAAAACGTTTCATGAAAGCAGTAAGAAAAAGAACCGAACGACAGGAGCGTGTAATCAAACGACAGGAGCGTGTAATCAAACGACACGCAGACGCATAACAGTTGGTAATTTTGTTTGAATCATAGAAAACTAAGGAAAACATACAACGTGATGGCTTATCAGCAGCTGGATGCTCGTAATAACAGCAATGTTATTGATGACTATCGAAAGTAGGTTTATGATTTCTATTTCAATTGATCTACACTTGATTGATTGTTATTTATCGTACAGATTAGTCTTATTCAGAGATACGATTGAGAAAAGTCATATCGAACAATATAGTTTTGTCATAACTATGCATGGAATGTTTATGTCGCGAACGATAGGACTAAGTTATCTGACAAAGAAAAACTATCTCCTTTCTTTCCTATTCTTCTCTTCTTTTGACGGGTTATTTTCGGCCAGCTGGTATCATGTGGGTGTTCGATAGGATGAATAATCAATTGTTAACTTCGTATTGAGTGTTAGAAATACTTTTTTTTCCTCTATACATAAAAAGCTGAAGAAAATATTCAGTCTGACCGATAAAAACGATGTTTTCTCGGGCCGTTTTAGATCAACTATGAATCCGCCCAAACCATCCAAAGATAAAGAATCACCCGGAGCAACTTCTTCTAGTCAAGTTACTTTTGTAAGTGCAATATCAACCGGCGAACGACGAATGCATTGAAACATCGTTTTCTCTTCTCTGTCAATATAGGCTGGTATCAAATCTGTTAGCAAGAAAGAATTGCGTGGCGGCCGGATCCGAGCTGAAGTGGTAAGTTGCATGTGTTCCTTCGGTTCTCCTGATGAACAACGAATCAATTTAAGTGTCATTAGTGGAATTGATTAGTGAGGGGGAGTTCTTATATTGATTGTCGTGAGGTGAGCATATGTCTTCATCACCTTTTCATATTTCCCTTCCTTTTCCGTCAAACAGATTGCACGCATTAGAAATTTGTATTGCTTTTATGAGAAGAAAAAAAAGAATTTCTTTTCTGCCTCTTTTATATGCGTGTTTTGAACGAGAAATACATTGTGACACAACAAAGAGAAAATAATCATAATGGAATACATTCGGCGATGCACGTCTATGCTCTATCTGTCGTTACAGCATCTCATCGAACTGTTGATGTTTAGAGAAAAAGAAAAAAACAGCAACGTGAAGAACGACAAAGAAGAGACAAATCTTCCTTGATTCTTCTTCTTCTTCTACTTGGTCGTCGGCGTTGACGTCTCGTTTCTCGACATCTGCATGACGACAGATATTTCTTTTTGTTCCTCCTATTCAGTATGAGTACTCGAGTTGTCTTCATTCTATCTGTCGATCAGTCAGCTAAGAATAGAGAACGTAGAGGAAGAAAATATTCTGTTGCTGCTTCTCTGCTTGTTGATGTTACCAGTGTCAGTCTACCAAATAGTTATCATCGATTGAGTAGACCGTGAGATCATTTACTCTTCTATCTGAACATTTTTCATCGCTACTATTGACATCAAAGTGCAAATTAATTGTTCCATTAGCTTCTTCTTCTACTTTCCTAACTTCGAGAGAGAGAGAGAGAGGGAGAGACAACACAACATCTTCTTTCGATTGATTTTTCCTACAAAAAAAAAACACGATGTTACGTGATATACATCCATTCAAATCATTAACATCACGCATTGCTGCAAATGCCAAACAAACCGTAAGTTAATCTACCGAACTAAAAATCCACACATCGTCTAACGTCAGACAAACTTTCATAAACCGAACTTTCGCCCACGTTGAGAGATTTCTTTTCTATTAACAATAGAATTGTAATGAAACAAAAACAGGAAGACAGTTTATGCTTTGTGTTGAATAATAATTTGGGCTTCGATGCCGAGTGTAATATTGTCGAAGAGTTTTGCATTGAGAAACGCCAACGAGTCAATGAGAATAGCGCTGTTAATGAGTTTTACATGAAATAACTGAAAACATGTAATAGATATATCTGTTTATGATAGCAGCTGTCTTGGAGATGCTTATCATTGTTTTGTCTCGGTAAATTTATTACAACTGCTATCTCACAAATTGCACGAATCTTATAAATGAATTGTTTTCATCGTAGGATATCAATCGCGAGATTCAAAATTGCCGTGATGAACAAAGTGAACGGTTTGATTTGAGCAAAAGCAGCGTCACAATTCTACCAAATACAATTAAAGAAGTAATAAGACGAAGAATTCTCTTCATCATTTGTATTTTGCTGCTTTTCTTCGTATTTAGTTAACACATGTGCGAGAATTGTATTTATATAGTAATCGTATTCAACAGCTACCACCTGAAATCGGCAATTTGGTCAACTTAAAAGTGCTGGCTTTGAGTGAGAATTCGTTGACAACATTACCGGATACCATGGATCGTCTTGTTCAATTGAAAGTCTTGGATTTACGACACAACCGATTCAATGATGTAAAAACGACGAATGTAACTTTCGTGATGTTCGTTTCACTGAAATGTTTTAGATACCCGAAGTGATCTATCGTATAACAAGTCTTACAACGCTCTATCTACGCTTCAACCGAATTAAAGAAGTATCTGATACAATCCGAAATCTAGTAGTAAGTATTGATTATGCTTAAAAAAAGTCGATTTTCTTACCTAAAATTCAATAGAATTTGCAAATGTTAAGTTTACGTGAAAATCGTATTCGTTCATTACCGATAACTGTTGGTCATCTTGTACAACTCCTCACGCTTGATGTTGCACACAATCATCTTGAACATCTGCCAAATGAGATCGGTTTGTATTGAATCTTAGTCAATTCGCTCATTGGTGAAAGTTGAATTTACTTTTAGGAAATTGCGCACAATTGACCACATTAGATTTAACTCATAATGAACTTGTTGATCTCCCCGAATTAATAGGCAATCTAAAAAATCTCAGTCGATTACTGATCAGATACAATCGTCTCTCGACCATTCCACCATCATTAGCAAATTGTTCTAAACTTGACGAGTTCAATATCGAAGGCAATAACGTTTCACAACTACCAGTCAGTTCATTTTCTCTTCTTCTTCTCCCCATAGATATATCTCGATGATTACTCTCTCTCTAGGACGGACTTCTTTCAAGTTTAGTTCATTTAAATACAATCTCATTGGCACGAAATAATTTCAATTCATTTCCATTGGGTGGACCAACACAATTCACATCTGTACATTCAATCAATATGGAATGTAATACGATCGATAAGATTCCATTTTCGATATTTTCCTTAGCGAAATATTTATCGAAATTGAACATGAGAGAAAATGCCTTAACATCTTTACCACTCGGTAAGTTCTCTCGTGATTCGTTCTTTCATTTCTACTTGAAATTCCTTTTCGTTAGACATTGGATCTTGGACTGCGTTGGTGGAATTGAATCTTGCTACGAACCAGCTAACTGTTATCCCCGAAGATATCAAGAATCTACAGAATTTAGAAGTGCTGATCATGTCGAACAATCAACTAAAGGTAAATAAACATTTATTGAAACAGTAACTATTCATCGGTGTAGCAAACTGCGCGATAAACAAGTAGAACTCGCACGAATTGCTTTTTCAGATGCGACCTGTCGTGAATGTCATTTAGAATATTAACTATATCTGTCATCTCAATTAGCTAGAAAAAGTCATTAAGTACAAAAGGAAAAACAGTCATGCTGAGATAACAAAATACTGATGTATTTTTGATACGAACGAATTTGTTTTTTTTTTTATTGCAGAGAATTCCACCTTCACTGGGTCAATTACGGAAACTACGGCATTTGGATTTGGAAGAAAACAAACTCGATTCACTGCCTCAGGAAATAGGTAAGCTCGCTGAGTAAGGATGTGTAGTCATGCGGATGCATATTATCATTAGGTTATTTACGCGAATTAACTCGATTAATTGTTGCATCGAATCAATTGACTCAATTACCTCGATCGATCGGGTAAAGAAAACGCACTTGATACCATCGACTCCTAGTTTCGATTTTTATCATATTTAGATCGTTATCGAATTTAACGCATTTAAATGTTGGTGAAAACAACCTAAGCTTGTTGCCCGAAGATGTTGGTCAATTGGAGAAACTTGAACAACTCTACATCAACGATAATCCTAATTTAGATGTCCTTCCTTACGAATTAGCATTGTGTACAAATTTACAAATCATGAGCATCGAAAATTGTCCACTTAGGAGTTTACCACAAGAAATAGTAGCAGGTGGACCTTCTCTTGTGATACAAGTAAGTCCGTTTTGCGATTTCGATGCTTCTTCTACTTTTTCTCCTCCTTTAGTTTCTCAAAGTACAAGGACCGTTTAATCTAAATTGATGCAGTATTCTAACTGTGTATGCTGTCTTTTCTTTTCTATGTATTAGTCAAATCGGTGTTTACTTTTCTCGAACCGGTCGATGTATTTTGTTTTCTTTTTCTTCTTATTGTTTTTCCTTTGAACAAACAAATTTGATAAAAAAAAACCATTTCAAGTGTTTTCTTTCTTTGCGCCAGACATTCTATTCATCCCATATTTTCTTTTTGTGTATATACGAGTATGTGTAATCTTTTATACTCTGAACAAATGGACGCATAGAGAGGGACATACACATATCTGCGTGCAAGTTTTTCTCGCGATGGCAAACGGACAGTTCGAATATAAAAATACATATTCGTCTTCGTTTTTCTTCTCATTTTTTTTCTCAATATTTTGTTTATGCGTTTGCAATGAAGGTCGTCTAGAATTTATTTTTCTGCTCGTGGAATCTACTAGTCAGAAGTAATCTATCTGTGTATGTATGCGAGAGTTTATTATGATATAATTGTTTCTTTTTCTCTTTACTTTTGATGTTCTTGAATAATTAACAAAACAACAGACAAGTTTTTAAATATTCAATATTTGTTTTGCTTTTTCACGCACCGTCCGAAAAACGAACATCTGTCGCGAGAGAGACACAAGTCGGAGAGTAATATGAAGAATAAACTCATTTTATTTGTTGAACATCATGAATCAGAGACAGAGAAGAGAAAAAAAGTACACTGCAAGGAAATTGCTTGAATTCTTAGGTGTCCATTGCTTCTTGTAATTGATTTACACTATTGTTTCCTGCAGTTAACGTCGATGATGTATCCGTATGATTGAAGCAAATTGAACTACCAGCACCACTGGACCAAGCTGTTGCCAATTGAACAAGGCGATCTCGTATCTCCACAAATTTACGTTTAAATTCAATACCGTCACCTTTGGACAAACGAAAATCAGCCATGATCTTGTTATCAGGAATTTTGAATACATTCACTTTAAAGATTAATTCTGTATGTCGTTTATCTTGCGTTACGACGGTGATCTAGAAATCGATTCTTTGTTTTTGCTTCTTATATAGAAAATATTCTTACTTGGTTGCCTGCTGTACGTTTCGGTGTATAACCTGTATGAACAAACAATTTATTCAATAGATAAATTGTGTCATCGAATGGCATTGCTAGGACAACGCGTGTCATACGATGAACCAGATGTTCTGATGGATCATCCTGGAACAAGATGAATAAAAGCTCAATGAAAATCAGAGTCATAGAAACTTACGTCGCCCATTTCGGCCAACGATCTGGGCTCAGTAATCAAGATTAAGTCATCAAGTTTAATTGGTTGTGAGATACAGGTCACCATTGGATCATCCATCGATGTCGAAGAAATCACAGTTGATGTTGTACTCTGATTAGGTTGTGTCAACGACCAGCATGGTTCCTCGTATTTGACACTAAATAGACCATTGATCAATTAAAGATCGCGCACTAACATTAATACGTACGCCATGCGTTTTAATAGTTGATGATCCGATTCTGTACCGTCTATTATGAATGAAGATAGATATTTTGGTTAGTTAGGGTCGATTGACTCTACCTTGCGGATACACTTTCAACATCCATTTGTGACTTTGGATATCAGGAACTCGTGCACGTTGTGCAGGATCATGGATTAAAATTCTTCGTAGAAGATCTAAAAGAGCGAGTTGATTGTTTTTTTTTCGCAACAATCACAGAACGTTGAATATCGTACTAAGAATCATATTATCAATTTTTTTCCACGGATTATGATAATAATCTCGATCTAGCCAACGTTTGTACTCAGGATTTTGATAAGATGGCTGATCCCAAGGTAGTTCTACGTAAATAAGATAAATTAAAAAGCAAGCAAATACTTTCGCAGTTCATTTACCTCCAGTCAACATAGCAGTAAGAATAATACCCGATGACCAAACATCGACTGGTTCACCTCGATAGGGTGTTTTAGCCCAAACCTATACAAATGTAAAATTCTTTCATCATCATCAGCATCGACTAATATAAAATAAGGATAATGATTATATAGATATCTTCGGGCTATCTGCTGATCTTCTTTAGTTGATTCCGTACATTTCAATCAGGTGCTTCTACCCTTTAGCAAAAAAACTAATCTCTTTAGATTAGTTGATTATGTCATTGTAAGTTTCTGATTGACATGTCTGTCAGCTAATATCGAGCGTGTCAGTAAGTCTTAGAAGGTCTGTGAATGATGAAACTTGGGAAATTGGCAGAATAGTCTTACTTCTGGTGATGAGTAAGGTGCTGTACCACAGTATGTAGTCAATTTGCGTTCTTCTCTTGTCGTTTGACTGCGAAACAACGTTGCTAGACCAAAGTCGCAAATTTTCAACACGTCTATTCATTGAAAGTAAGAAAAGAGTATGAAACTAGATTATCTCCTACTATTATTTGCAATGAGAAGATTTTCTGGTTTTAGATCTAAATAAGTCAGATGGTAATCGAAGTTTTGAAGAATTTCATGGAGAAAACAGACCTCGATGAGCAACGCCAAGACTGTGGAGATACGCCTAAAAGAAAAACATATGTTCTTTCCTTCGTTTTACAGCCATTCTCACCATTCCAGCGACGACTTGTTTGAAATAATGCTGAGCAAGATATTCTGGCATTCCCACATCAGGTTCTATTAAAGACAAACATTTAAATCAAGTTATTCTTGTTTACTTTTCTCAATTGTTTACCGATTTTATCGAAAAGTTCACCACCAGCCGCATATTCCAAAAAGAGATAATAGTTGGTGTATTGTTGTTTGTAACCATAGAATCGAATGATATTCTCATGTCGAAATAATTTGTGTAAATCAATCTAGAAACGAACTCGAAGTTCATCGGTTAGCGACGGAGGACAATGAGCATACTTCTTTTCTTATAACGACGTCATTGCCTTTTAATCGATTGATATCGATGACTTTAACTGCAGCGAATTCGTTTGTATTGATATTTTTGGCGAGAACGACTCTAGATAATTAAATTCTCTCGATCGATCAGAGATAAATTAGCGATTGACGTACTCGCCATAGGCACCTTCACCCAACGTTTCTGTAAATTGCCACATGATCGAAAGTGACAAGTGAAGAAAAGAAAAACTAACGACTTCGTCTGAATTCTTTGTTTAATGTGTACATATAACAAGAAAACTCGCTTCATTTTGATTGGACAATAGTTTTTGAAAAAGAAATTGCAAGTGACATAATTGAATCTTTTCTTAGCGAAAAATCAATGATTTTCTCATTTAGAATCGATTCATTTTGATGAATATGGAATCATCGTTCATGAAAAAAGGTTCCAGTAGATAACCAATTGAAAGTGTAGCAGACAGACAATCGACATTCGTTCTTTCCTTGTTCTACTGATGACGTCAATCTGAACTGTGCTATGCATTGATCTTTCTTTTTTTCGACGAATTCTGTTTGATCGCACTGAATGGGATGAAATCTATTACAAAGATACAAGTCGAATATCTCGCACTGATACGGAGTATTGATTGTCTCATCGCACATCAATTGAGTACATATTTGATGTCAGATAAAACTTATCGGAATGACATATATTGGTATTTATGATAAATTGAATTTGCGGCATCATTTCCTGCATGAAACTTTCATGTACAGCAATTCATTAAGTCAAGATTCAATTTCGGCGTAATGTAATAATCGATTCGTACATGACAAAATCCATGCACAAGAACAAACAACAAACTGGTTTTGTTTGCAACGTCTATTGAAATGAAATGTTCGCGTTGATGTTGAAGATATGCCTTAATGTGATGCAATACAGATATGACAGCAGATCGAACGAGTTAATGATAACTTTGCAGACTGTCATTCATGGAAATAGTAATACTATCTTAACATATTATTCGAGCAACTGTTTGTTCTAAGTATTTCTTGCCATTAATAGTCTTTTTCTTGTCTGCGCGATTCTTCCCAAAGGCAAAATAAAGAAAAGCAAAGAGCAATGTATGTATACCATTAGACTCAAAAGATAATTTCGAATGCAAGTGATCGAGATTAGATTTGCTGCCATGTAAATATACGTAAGTGATCAATGCGTTCAAATCGATTCATTTAAAGATGCCATTACGTATTCCTTATTTCATTTGTCATCGATAAACGAAGGAAATAGTAATTAATACTGCTTGATTGGCTTTTCTGAGAACGATGTCACACGCACAAGCAGATGCTCGTAACCGCGTGTAATGAACATCCGATGTTCGCATAGAGATATTAGTTCGAGTCTTGTCTATGATCTTCACTTGAACATTGATTAGGAATTTGAATAAATGAGCATAGCCGAAGACATCGAAGGGAGAGAGAGAGAGAAGAAAATGGACTGAAAGCTGTATTCATCAGTGAGTTTCTCCCAGAGAAAAGAACGCGAAGGAAAGAGAAGGAAAAGAATCGAATGAACTTAGTATTCATCACTACTATTCATACGCCGACTAACAGTTGTGTCAACGGGAAAAGTACCGCCTGCAGATTGATCGATTGTGTATATTACTTATTCTTTTCATTCAGCCTTCCAAGTCGCCAGAACATCGATTCACAAAAACGATGCAATTCTTCTTAATAAACCTACTTTCCTATCACTTTATAACTTACGCATTAATTATTTATGCTGACAACAGAAAACAATTTGGTATATCATTGTCTTTTCATATCAACAAAATCGTTTGAACTGTTTTTTTTAATGTTAGGGGATGTTTCTTCTTCGTTTGATCTATTCTGTCCGTCGGATCTCTTTCGTTGTGATACAAATCGGTGTTTACCCTATGCATTCGTTTGTAATGGAGAATACAATTGTCATGATCAAACCGATGAACTGAACTGTTCGATTCCGACAAACACGAATGATTTATGTCCGAACAATTACTCGGTTAGTTGTGAACAAGATATTCTTCATAGTAGACGTTTTATGGAACATGCAATTCACGATGAATACACAAGACCCATACAGATTTGTATCAAGCGGTAAATATCGACATTTTCCTAATCGACCTGTAGACATACCTTGGAGATTCGAAAGTTCTCTTGCATCTATGGAGGTTTCCGTCAAATCAGAATGCTTTGTATATCAGTTCGAGGTGTTCTATTCATTTGTATTCATAAAAACTAATTCCATTGTGTATTTTCTTCTGACAGTTTATGAGAAAATAATGATTAACCAATAATCAATCTGTTTACAGGTATAGAAAAGATGACAATAAGAAAGGAAATTGTATCGTAGATATGCGCCTTTGTTTTCTAAATTGAACTGCTTTACCAGCATCAGACAAACCGGAAATAGAGAGTGAAGGTTTTTTGTACACTTGTCTACGTGATTTATTAAGTTATAATCAGAATATGAGAAAAGCGAAGCATCGAAGCGAATGAGAATCAGACAATAGTTCTTCTATCGCTCAGAGCATTCCTCTGAATAGATCTTTTCAAGCATTTAATATTACATTTTAATTGTAATGATTTACCCCCGAATAGATCATCAGTTTGTGATGGAATTAGCGATTGTCGAAATGCTATCGACGAACAATGCGTGAAGAAAAATCCGTTGATTGTTTGTACAGACGACGAATATCATTGTAAAATAACAAATCGTTGCATACCAAAGCGATGGCGTTGTAACGGAATTAATGATTGTCTTGATTCATTTGCATCTGATGAATTAGGTAAGAAAATTCTTTGAACGGAATCGAGAATTAGCTGATAATAATCGATAGATTGTCCGATTAATCGGAAATGTGCATCAAATGAATTTCCTTGTCGATCGATTCATCAATGCGTATTATCAACGGCCGTTTGTGATGGAATACAAGTCAGTGAAATTCTTTTGTTTCGACGTTTCACTGATGAATTGTTCTTCATAGGATTGTATGGATGGAAGTGATGAATCATCATCGATATGCTGTACGTATAGGAACATATTTTCGAAACATCGCTATTTATTTCTTGTTTGCAGTATTTCCTCGCTTTTGTACACGTGATCAATTTTCGTGTAAATCAACCAAATTATGTATTCCGAAGTCGAATGTTTGTGATACAATAAGTCAATGTCATGACCGAAGCGATGAAATGTTTTGTACGTGTCCAGTAGAAGATTATCTAAGTCGCAAGTTATTCTATCGATGTGGTTTAACGAATAAATGTTTACCCAGAAATATCGAATGTCACCTCAAACGGCAATGTCATTCGACGCTTTTTCCAGACGATGACGACGACGACGAAATCGAATGCCCAGCTCTGAATCAAACATGTTCCATGAATCAACCATGTCTAGGCACAAATCAATATTGCGATGTTCATCGATATCAACGCTGTATTTGCAAAGAAGGCTATCGAATGAATCAAACAACAGGTTTATGCGAAGATATTGATGAATGTCGCGAACGAGTCATTTGTGATCATTATTGTGTTAACACACTCGGATCATACCATTGCTCGTGTCATGAAAATTATCAATTGAAATCGGATAAACATACATGCACACGTCGACTAGATCTGATTCCATCAGGTAAAACAAGCGTTGATTTGAAAACTTACCGGAAATTTCCATGCAATGCGTATTTTTAGGATACATGTACAGTATATTAAAGAATGGAATCTATAAGTTAAATCTAAATGATGACAATGAAATTGTAGCGAATAATCAAACATCACTTACATTGACCGAACATGCTTATTTATTAGATTATGATACAATTGAAAACGATCTTTATTTTGCCGAATGTACAAAACCGCTTCGATTAATTCTTATGACATGTCCGAAGACCAAAGGCATATTTCGAGTTCGTCTAAACCAATCGGTGACTCGAAAAGAAGTAAGATCATTTTCTATGATGTTCTAGTATTGGTAATTTGTCTTTTTGTTTTCCTTTAGTTAATTATCGATGGACGTGATTATACATCGATTCAATCTTTGGCTGTTGACTGGTTGCATAGAAATATTTATTTTGTTAATACACGCTTTCAAACGATTGATGTTTGTCGGTTGAACGGAAGTTTTTGTCAGACGATTCTTCATCAAACGTTCAGCGATTATCTACCACAAAAGCTTGTTTTATATCCCGAAAAAGGGTATTTTCTATTTGGATATCCAAGGACTTCAACGGAATCTTCACGTTTTTGTTTAGTCTACTTTTTTACACCGCAAGTGTCAAATCTCGTGCACAACATGTCATCCGTTTGGGAATGGATGGAACAAATTTCAAACTCTTATTTACTCACAAAACATCGAATGATGGGCTTTATCTTCGATCATTATTGACCCTTGATCAAATCAATCATCATTTGTATTTCTATAATGGCCTTGATAAAATATTTGTTTTAAATATGCATGGCGATGTTCTTCACATACAATACGAAGCAATAGATCGATTTCATTCGTTCAGAATATATGCCGGTAAGCAATTTTCATGGCTTATAAATCGCAGAAATCTGTTTTCTTTTAGATAAAGTTTATAAAGCATTTGAAGAAGTGAACGAAACGCATCGTAGTGAATTTCGTATCAATGCAAAGTATGCACTGGGCACGACATTATTAGAACCAGGATTCGTCTTACAGCCAGGTCAAGATGTACATAGTTCATACAGTACGATGAAAAATTTCTTTCAAAGATCACCTAAATGTTCTATTTTATAGATAAAAGTCGAACATCAATGTTGAATTCTTTGCGCAATCTTTACCATTTCTCATATTCTTTGCATATGATTGATTTTGTTATTGTTGATATGCATGGAAAGAAAGGTACGCTTGGAAGAAGGAATTTGCGTTTGAGTGAAGAGGAGAACATCCGTAGTGTTAATAATGATCATTTGATCTCCGGAAATCCTCTTCTTGATCTGAAAATACTCCCCATACTAGCGAAGGATATTGTTTTTTTTTCTTCCGAGAAGAAAATTCATTTATAAAATTTGGAAAATTATAGTGTCGGATATGCGGTGTAAACAGTGTGAACAATTATGTTTCCCGAATGTTCGGAACCAAACTGAGATTTCTTGTGGTTGTGTTCAATATTATCATCTTGCGAACGACGGACATTCGTGTACGCCTGGGTGTCCTGAGTAAGTGACGAAACATACTCGATCGTGTTTCTGATGATTCGTTTTTTTCTAGACATTTTTTTAATTGTCCAATATCGAGAAAATGTATTCCGTTTTATCAACACTGTGATGGAATTGTCGATTGTTTGTTCAATGAAGACGAAACTAATTGTCAAAGTTAGTTATGTCTCAACGAATAATTGCGTTCATTTCGCTTCTAGTAGATTGTAATACTACAACACCGTCGTTTCGTTGTTCGCGCAGTTCACAGTGTATATCTGCAGATGATATGTGTAACAATCGAAGTGATTGTGCACATAGTGAAGATGAACATGATACAATTTGCAAACATTTCTGTGAATGGCCAAGTGTAAATACTTGCATCAGTAAAAATACACATAGTTCATTGACGAAATAGATTATCGAATCCTTTCTGATAGAGAAATATCCTAATTTATGTTCCAATGAAGAATTCTATTGTGATGGAAAATGTGTATCGATTATACATCGATGTGATGATAAACCATACTGCTGTAAGAATGATAGAGAGAGTAAGAAGATTTTTCAAGTGATCTCTTCTACTTTAGATGATGGTAGTGATGAACCATTCGATTGTGCTAATGTGAGATGTCCATATGAATATTTCAAATGTCCACTGTCGGGAAAATGTGTTCCATATGAAAAAATTTGTGATGGTATTGAAGATTGTCCAATAATCGATAGAATAAATGAAATCTCGGCAGATGAAAGAACCAAAACGTGCAGTAAGATATGAAATCTTTATCATTCTGATGTACGTATAAATCGTCGCTCGTCATTTTTCTTTGCAATAGACTTGATACTAAACCATTTAACAAATTTAACGATGACGACACCAATCGTGCCTTCACAGATACGTATGACATGTGAGTCAATCGATTTATTTCGGTGTAAAACAAGTAATTTTTGTATCAATCGAACATATGTTTGCGAGTAAGTCGGTTGTTTTGTCGAATGCATTTAAATTTATATTCGTTTTCAGTGGTGATTTGGATTGTTCCGACTCTTCGGATGAAGAAAATTGTGAAAACTACAATATTAATGGTTTAATATCGTTGTCGTTACATAAGGATTATACATGTATGAATGGCTACCGTTGCGCTCAGCAACGCCATGAATTAGATGATTATAATTCTCAGTGTATATCATTGATTGAATTATGTGATGGTATTAGTCAATGTCCTCTAGGAGATGATGAACATTACTGGCGTTGCCGTATGTAAAATATGACTGATGGCATTTTAAATAATCCATTTTGCTCTATTTATAGAAAATTGCTCGAATTGTGATTCGATGTCCAGTTATTGTGAAGTGATTAATCGTTTGCCGATATGTCAATGTAAGAGTGGTTTTGTACAATTAGCAAATCAGTACGTAGATAATTGAAATCTCTTTCTCATCCGCTTTATAAACGTGTTCTTCATGTGTTCAGAAGTTGTGTATTAGAAGATACTCTTTGTACATGGTCTTACAATACCTGTCCACACAAGAATTTCTCTCGAATAGGAGAAAATTTTGATCTTTGTCCAACGAAAAGTTCTTCAATAGAATGTCAATGCGATCGTGGCTATGAAATGAAGAAGGTAAACTAATCTCACCCTTCAAAGATAATATCTTCCAATTCTTATCTTGCGAAGAATGCTAATGGCGATCCGTCATGCGTGACACAAACAACACGGACATTCGATATCATGCTCAATCCTCGTTCAACATTCTATCTCTACCAATACAATCTGATCGTGACAGTAAGATTTGTCTCGAACTGTCATCTATATCAACTGGACAAACTATTTTTAGCCAGTGAATCCATCTCATCAGTTGATCGATGCGGTATTTGTACCATATGATCGAACTACTTGGTGTCTTCTCTACACTGAACAACGCAGTGGAGAGGCATTTATCTGGCAACAAAAACTTAATCATCAATTAAATTCAACAATTCAAGCTGCGACGAATGCGACAAAGGTTACTTGGCTTCAGTACTATCATAGTTCAATAATATTTCCTAATTTATAGATCTGGTCTTCATCGTTATTTTACTTTACATCATTGGATGTTGACTGGATCCATCGTTTTGTTTACGCTCTCTACGAAGATCCAACGTCATCCACGAACGGCATCGAAATCTTATACTCAACGACAAACGATTATACACATTTGATATTCGTCAATCGATTGACATTTTCGAATACAAAGACAATTTCATCAATTAATGTTCAACCTTTACAAGGGTAAAACACGGAATTACTTTCTAGACTAATCTAATTTTTGTGCATGTTTCTTTCGTACAGATATCTTTACATCAGTGCATATTACGATGCTCAACATTCGTTTGTGTATCGAAGTTTGCTCGACGGATCAAATCTTGAAATCTTCTTAACACTTCAATATCCAGTATTAAGCATGACAGTCGACTATCGTCATCCACGGCTATACCTGATGTTATCAAATGGAGATATTGACAGTTATACAACTGACACACACCAAGCGTGGAAAACGAGTATTTATTCAATAAAAAGTAAACTTTTGTTCATAAACGATAATCCTTTGTCTAATGAAAACAAACCTTTGAATAGATCATCGACCGTATTCAATTGAGCTACATGATGATACACTTGTTTTAATGATATTGAATACGACGGATTCAACTTATGACGAAATTTGGGTGGACAAGTTTGGTCGAGCAGTACTCGAAAAACATCGCAAACTTAAGTCATCCATCATTGTCCGATATTCACATGAGTTTAAATATCCAACGATGGACACGTCAAATAGTAAGCGAAAGATACTCGTCTAGGTTGTAGTTATATTTTACATTCTATCTTCTCTAGTGGTTCACCGAGTTTGTTCGGATTCATCATGTCCCAGTGATCGTATATGCATAACGACTCCATCTTATCAACCATTGTGCGTAACTCCCGGACGTAAGTTTAAATCTTTAATTTCCTATTAGAAACTATTTTCTTTGTATTCATTAGAAATGAATCGATGTGGTTCATCATGTCATAGTCGTGGTATATGTTCTAATGGTCGTTGCGTTTGTTCAAATCGAACTTATGCTGGTGATGCTTGCGAAATGTGCCAATTGTCAGATACGATGAATGTTGGCTGTTTTTATGCTGGTAATGATTCTCAACCGTCTTGTATGTGCTATTTGTCATCATCAAAAACACGACGAACTCCTTACTTGTGTTCAGTATTCAAAAATGAGCGTGAAGAAATCGGTGAGTCTGGATGATTTATTTCACTCTGTATTATCGATTCTGTTCGTTTCATAGAAGTCCCCTGTGATCTTATTACTATGCCAGTGAAACGCGAAAGTTGTTCGCGATCATTATTTTCTGAGTCATTGTGCGGCGATACCACTCATTCATTGATATTTCATGTGCAGACACAAACTTGTGTCTGTAGAGAAGTGTTCAAAAGAAAACCAAGTTGTCTAAACACTGGGCTTCTAATCGTCGACGATGATAAAAACTCATCAATATGCTCGTAAGTATTTAAGAAGAAAAACTCAATCTATTTGAGTTTAACTATACATTTTCTTTTTATGAACAGTTGCGCATTGCCATTTTTTGGCAATCAATGTCAATGGTCACCATGCAGTAACCATTGTCAAAACAATGGCACCTGTATGCTGAATGGAAGCAAACCTATCTGCATGTGAGTCAACTCATTATCGAAAACACAGGTTTTATTCTCTTCCATTGATGTTAGTTGCTTGAATGGCTTTGCTGGTGCACAATGTCAAGAGAATTTATGTCGACCGATTTTTTGTGAACATCAAGGAGTATGTGTTGTGGAAAATAATGAACCTACATGCCGGTAAACTTTATTTATCTATCTCTCACTGAATGATTAGTTGTATATTGAAATCATTTAGTTGTCGATCTGGCTTCACTGGCTACTATTGTCATATTCGACGATACAAACCTTGGCGTTCATGGATTTTCATCGCGACTCTCGGCAGTATTGTTTGTATTATCATTTATATCTGTGTTCGACACAATTCCAAATTTCTTCGATTAAAATATTCGTTTACGTATCGTCATTTACGCGAACAAATCGGTCTGCAAGGCAGTTCGACAAACACAATGTATTCTCATGTTCCTACGAGTGATTCGTATATTCAGGATTGTCAAGCAGAAGACGCGTTACACGATGAACAGCAAAGATTTTCTTTGGAAATGACTGATACTCAATTGAATCACCATTCCGATGAATATCAACAAGATGCATTTTGTATTGATGAGAAACAACCAATATTCAATGGCGATCGGACTGCAACCATCAAGATTTAACCGGTGTTTTCAATGTCACATGTATTTATTGATAATGAAAAGCAAAACATTGACTTTTTTTTTAAATTGTTATTCTACCTTTTCTATCTGATATGAACAATAAAGATGTTTAGTTTAATTTTACTGAATGTCAATCTATGAAATTTCGAAGATGTGATTGATACGAAAATGATTGACAATGCATAGAGAAACGCGTTACTCTAAATGAAAATTTTCTTGGCCATATATTTATTCGTGATAAACGACAAAAACCACAAAAACAAAATAAATGGTCGTGTACATGTGTTTCTATAAACGAAATGAGCAGACAGAAAATCGAGTTGAATGTTTTTTTGGACGACAATTGAATTAATGTGATAACGATCGACTTTGTACCACCAGAAGATCATTCCAGATATTTTCTTCAAATAGATTTCTCATGCAATTGAGTTCGATGTTGTTTTCTTTAAGTTTAATTAAGAATTTTTCCATTGCTTTACATTTGTTCCATCGATAATCGCAATACCGTTTGTTTCTGCGTGTTAAAACACATACTTTGTTATCTTCATAACTAACAAAGTCCAATCGAACACCACGTAACGCAGGATCGAGTCGAGTGTCAAGCTTTTAGTGGCGACCGCAAATTCCAATGTCAATTAATACGATCATCCACAAATATCTATTCAGAAAATTCAGAATTCATTGAAGCGATCTGTTTTCTCGAACTATTCCACATATACATCAAAGCAGATACAAATAATCAAACATTTCATTTTTGCTTTAAATCATGTACAACTAATGTACATTGGATATAAGATTAAATCAAGTCACTATTCCAAGTGGGAGCGTAGATAAACGTAATTGTTCATACACTTTCTCTCATTTCCTTATCTATGCAAATCTAAATCACAACATCTTTTTATACAGT